CTTAGCGCAACCTGAGACACTTTCACTCTGGATTTTGTTCTTATTTTTAACAGAGCCCCCTCGAGTGACGTCGCGGGCGGGTCTCATGGACACGTGCCTCGGGCCAATGGTCGCAGCGTCTCGCGCCCACGTGACGCGCCAACCGCGGCTCGGTGACAGGAGGCTCCCGCCGCCCCGCCGCCGCCGCCCCTCCCTCCCTTAAAGCAGCCGCGTCCTCTGGCTCCCGGTGCGGGAGCCCCGAATCCGCGAGACCAGGACCGCGTCCCTGCGCTCGACCGCGCTTTCCCCGTCGCTGGGACCGAAGGAACCCCCGCGGTGGCATTCTCCGGTCACCCTGGTTAGCGTCCGCACACACGGTCTGGGAGATTGCAATTTTTAACATTTCCATATTGTTTACCGTGGGGAAAAATCCCACAATTCCTTGCACAAAAATGCATAACTCATATTAAATAGGCTGCCGAGATACAAAGGGACTTTTGTAGCCCGTGTTCCTCGCTATGGAAAGGGAAGTTGTCACTTACGTTTGACTTTGGTGACCGGGCAGATTTCTGTGTTGAACGCAGAGCTGGCGCACAGGACCCTCCTCCTGCAGACACTTATTGTAAGTGTGCGTGAGTGTGCGTGTGCGTGTGCAGAGCGGCGCGTGCAGAAGGCAAGGTCCCCTGGGGACACCCATCCTCAGGAAACGGGCAGGTGGACCCGGAGCGCGGGAGCAGATTTCGGGCTCCGCGGGAGGGAGAAATAAAGGCGCATGGGGGTCAGAACTGAGTCGTCGGTTTGGAAATTCCCATCCAACCACACGCCCTGCCCCCAGGCCTTCCACCTCGTTTTCATAGTCTTAAATTCCTTAAACAGGTTTCCTAGAGAGCAGGGCCCATCCGAAAGCGGGATTAGGAATTACTTGGTGGGGGATTTGTTTTCCCCTCCCCTCCTTCCTCTGTCCCTTTGGACACTTCCTTTCCAGCTGCTGTCAGGTGTCCAAATGGAACTTCTATTTCCTCTTCTCTTCCCTCCTCCTTCAGGGTCCTGCCAGGAAGCTCCTCTCTCCTGGCCCCCAACAGCCTTTGTTACCCCAGGAGTACCTGTCCATCATTTAAAATGCATTTTTATGGAAATTTGCAAACTTCAAAGAAAACACCCAAAAGGGCAATTCTGAGAGTGCAGGAGCATTGGCACGATAAAAGTGCCCTTGGTGGAAAGGGGGCTGGAGAGGGGAGAGAGGGGAGGGGAGAGGAGGTGGAGTCAGGTGCCCCAGGACTGGCCTGCGGAGGGGCAGAGGCAGCAGCCAAACAGCGGAGGCCCAGCCAGTGCGGAGCAGGCTCTGGGTCAGGGACTGCCTGCCCAGTGCTGCCAGGCCAGGAGAGGGGCAGGTCTGCAAGCAGCCCTCCAGGCAGAGTGATGGCCAGGCCTCCCCTTCCCCAGCCCAGCCCAGCTCTGCTCCTGTGCCCCCCAGGTCCTGTCCTCTTTCACCCACTGACCCACTGCAGGCTCCAGGTGCAGCAGCTGCCACACACTGCTCCCGCGGGAACTGACCCCAGGAGGAGGGGCAAGGAGGGTGGAAGGAGGACCTGGGCTGGCCACCAAAGGAGTGGAGGCATGTAGGTGCTGGGTGTGGGTAGGCTCTGGAGACAGATGGGGAGTCCCTCCTGTGAGATTCAAGTAGGGGGTGGGAAGCCACTTCTCACTTGGGGTGACTCACAAATCTTCCTCGCCCCTCCCCCCCATTTGGAAGGGTTATCACTAAATTACCTGGCTAAACACACACCTGCCAGGGACACTGCCTGGGTCTCAAAAAATGACACCCCACAGTCTGCCGGCCCCTAGGAAAACGGGGCTGCTGGGGCTTGTGGGAACACCCTGTTGACACGTGGTTAAGGTCTGGGGGAAATTTCCTACAGCTCTGGAAGCATCCAGTCGCTTTGGGTCTCCTGAAGGCAGGGGATGTGAAGGGACAGCCCAGGGCCCTCTGATTCCTGCAAAGCGGTCCAGGCTCATTTCTCAGCCGTCCCCTGAAAACCAATTAGGCCGCCTCCTGAGAAATATTTTCGTTTCATGGGCAGTATTGCTTCTGAGCGCCTCGGCATTAAATGAGCCCAAGGTGGGGACTCCTGCTGTGTTCCTTCCTGTGACCCAGACCCCAGCTCACCGAGCGAGCGAGCGCACTCTCCTAGCAAACCTGGACTTGGGGGTCTTCAGACTGCACAGAAGGAGGGGCACTCCTGGGTTACTGGCCTGGGTGGGGGCGGGCATGGGGTGGTGCAGGAGGAGCAGAGAAAGGAGTAAGGAGAGCAATAATTGGGGGTGGGATCTCAGGCTTCCCAGAGCCCCCCCAAACATTAAAGTCAGCCTTGAGAGTGGGCACCATCCAACAGGCAGCGGGGAGGCTGTGGAATTTGGGCCAAAGCTGCACAAAGTTGGTTTGCTCAGGGGCAGAGAGGATCCTGTCTTACATAGAAATCTCAAGCTGTTTCCAGAAGCTTCTAAAACGTGCTGGAGGCTCAACCTGGCCTCTTGCCGGATCTGGGACACCGCCCTGGCTGTGTGTGCTTTTCTGGGGACACGGGTGGGCAGGGGGGCGCGGGGAGCCTGCCTTTCCAAGTCTCTGCTCCTGGACCTGCAATGCAGCAGGTCCCCTCAGCCCTGGGCCCAGCGGCCTGCGCCCCTCTCTCCAATCCAGACCCGCTGAGGCACTCAGGGTCAGTCTCTGTGCAACCAGGCAGGCCACCTCCAGACCGTGTGTCTCCCCAAGCAAACCCAGCTGGGGAACCCCAGCCCTTCTCCTCTGGCAGGAGGGGGTCGGCTTCCTGAGGACAGCTCTGCTTCCTTCCAGGGGTCTGCACGGACCGGGGTGGGGATGGGGGGTGGCTATCTGAGCCAGGAAGAGGCTTCTAGACAGGAGGATTTATAACACTGACGCCAGTGGTGCCACAGATAACGTCTGGCGCCTGAGGGTGGCAGGGGTTCCTGGAGACTCGGGTGCCTGGCTGCGGAACCAGGCCCCCTCCCTGCTTTTTCTTAAAACTGGGCCAGAGGACGGTGACTTTTGCGGAGGCTCTGCTGCCCCTCACTTCCCACACTTCTCTAGATGGGCGAGGGACACTGGGGGGAACCACTGCCAGACAGCGGGTTCACCCTGGGCACATTGGCGCTGGGTTGGTAGACAAGCCCCACAGAGAGCGACACCTGACCTCAGCACAACCAGGAGCAGGGCCCTGAGCTGGAGCAAGAGCCACCTCGGTCCTTGCGAAGCGAAGCGCTGCTCCCCAGCCCGCAGACAAAGGCCGGAAGCGGGCATGGGCGGCGGAGCGAGCTCTCCTGCAGCCGCGAGGGCCAGGGTTGGGGACACTGGCCTGGCGGGGGTTGGGGGGGGGGAGGGACTGCTAGGCGAAACCCAGGAAGGGAGGGGTAAAGGCAGCAGCGGTGCCTGGAAAGGGGGTGGGCACCTGCCCTTGTCCTCAGGACACCACCTGTCCTGCCGCAGGCCGCCCGGGGCCCAGCCAGAGGCACCCTGTGCCCGCAGCCACAGAGAACTGGGCGGCCGGAGCCCGTGCTGCCTGGCCGAGGAGGGCGGTGGGCATTGGCCTTGCTGGTCTGGGCCCTGCCCCAAGGGCTGGAGCAGAAGTGGCTGGTGCTCAGCCACAGCCCCCTCGGTGCTGGGGTCACATAGGAGGTGAGGCCCCCAAGGGAGACAGGCTCCTGCCCAGGCCGCAGGGAAAAGACCTCCTTTTGACGCTCAGCCCCAGTGCTGGCTGGGCAGGCCGGGAGCTGCACACAGGGAGGCAGGTCTCCAGAGCCCGAGACTTCCATGTAGAACCTCCTAGAACCTGTTTCTCCTGAAAACAGAGCTTCTGAGGACAGTGAGGAAGACTCTCCAGCTCACTCCGGTCCTGGCCCCGCACCGCCCTCCCTGGGTTGCTCCGGGGCTGGGGACTCCTGCCTTAGACTCCCTGCCTGTCCTTGGGAATCATCTGTGTCCTGGGAACCCCTGTCCCGTGTCCTCACACTGTGTCACTGCTGTCTTCAATCCCAGGAAAAGCTGGCTCCCTCTGGAAGCGGGGCCCCTGCCCGGGAGGTCGGCCATGGCATCCTCTGGGAGTCATACAGATGCTCCCCCACCTGACACCTCTCCCCAAAGGGAAATGTCCCCTCAGAACGGCAGAGACCCAGAAGAAAACAGTCTAAACCAGTGGTTCTCAACCTTCTGGCCCTTTAAATACAGTTCCTCACGTTGTGACCCAACCATAAAATTATTTTCGTTGCTACTTCATAACTGTAATGTTGCTACTGTTATGAATCATAATGTAAATATCTGATAT